TTTTAAACTGCCAGTTGACTGGCAAATACTATATTTCCACCCTCCCCCAAAGTGTCAGCTGACAGACAACTAGCCTTTTCACAGTAGCCCCTGCTCTGTGGAATATTCTCCCCCCAGAGATTACAAGGGCCCCAACTCTGATGGCCTTTCATAAAGCTTTAAAACGGGTGTCTAACCTTGGCAACTTTAAGATTTGTATACTTCAACTCCTAAAATTCCCCAGGCAGCCATGTCCACAAGTCTTAAAGCTGCCAAGGTTGGATATGCCTGCTTTAAAAAACTTGACTAGGGCTCTGAATTAAGGTGTAGGAGGAGAAAGGTGTATTAAGTATGTTTACTGCCCTGAGTTATTTATAAAAATCATAAAGGCAGGATAAAAAAAAACTGTTCTGCCTTAAAAGTAAATTGTTAGCAGTGGCAGGAAGAGAGAATCTAGTCTTTCATCCAAGTAAAGGCAGCATTTACTAAAGACAGTATTTTATCAAACATATATTTTATCTCTGCCTGCCATAAAGAAATAGTGTGAGTGTGCAGATTGTGGGATCATGAGTTCATTTGTACAAATGTGTTTAATTATGTGTTTAATTAGTAAGCAATAGTTGTGGTTGGGGTGAAAGGTCTAGATTATAATATGTGTTATTGTTATTTTTACTTTTTTTAAAGGCTGGACACAACTTTGCCAATGCTGATATGAGTTACATGAAGACTTTGTGTGGCACTTTCTTGCATGGCCCCAAATTGCCAGAAAGGTGGGATATATATGTGCTCTATTTCTAATCCTGCTGCATGTGTGTTCTTGAACTTTTGGACTCTTCAGATAATGGCTATCTTGCTTTCTACTCTCAGGAATGGCTTCCTGGTTACAGCTGTATTAAAGTTGCTATTGGATATAAAAGAAAAGTCTTATTTTAACAATATAACAACTGTTTTTTATGGAGAAAGTGTTAGTTTAATAGCCTGACGGGACTGGGAAACACCACTGCTGAAATTCTGAACTGTTGTTATTACTTTTATATTTAAAGATTAAGGTAAATGGTGTAGTTGTTGGTGTAGTTGTTAAAGCATCTCACTAGAAACTAGGAGACTTTGAGTTCTACTCCCACCTTAGGCACAAAGCCAGTGGATGACCTTGTGCCAGTCACTCTCAGCCTTAGAAAGGAGGCAACGACAAATCACTTCTGAGAAATATTGCCAAGAAAAGTGCAGGGACTTATCCAGACTGTCTTTAAAAATTTGATCCAGCAGTGTGAGTTGATATTAGACAGCTTTCCTATGTTTTTATTTTTAAAAAATAAAAGAGCAAGAAAACAGGATGCCTCACATTAAAAAAAATGTAGTTGGCATTTATATACTGCCATCCTTTTCAAAATTTGGGTGGCTGTCTTGAAATCTACAACAATGATTTGTTGATAGTCTTGCTTTTTAGTGGAATGAATTAATCTGGACAGATGTAGATCCAGATCAAAATATTACTAATACATTCATGAGGAGTAAACTTTGAAGTTATTAAATAGATCCCTTTTATATACAGTGTCAACTCTGAATCATATGTATGCTAGTATTTTGTCAACATGCTGGAAGCAAAATTGAAGGTCTGACATAAAGAGATTATTAAATCCAAGGATTTTGGTTGGAAAAAGACCTTAGTTAATTAGAGCATGATTCTGTCTCTTTTTCACCCAACTTCTTCCATATTGTTTGAAAGGTTTGAATTTGCTGGTGATTTGGTCTTGCCAAAAAGCTTCGATTCAAGGCAACAATGGCCAAACTGCCCGACCATTAGTGAAATCAGAGACCAAGGCTCTTGTGGTTCCTGCTGGGTAAGTTCCTTTCCTAAGTCTAGAAATTGATCCAAGAAGAAATTGCCACAGGCCAGAATTCAGCAGATCTAGTAGTTCATATCCAGTTCTCCAGCTTTAATAGAAGCATCTGATGCTTGAAAAAATGCATATTAGCTAAATTCATGCATGGCACTAATTTATGCATGGTGTGAACTCAGTTGTAGCGGCATACTCTTAAATTACAGTTAAGAGAAACATCTCCTAACACAGTCAGTGTATATGTGAATTCTTACACAACCCTATGACTCAATTTGTATTGGAACCACCTATCCATTAAGAAACATCAGTGTACATGTGCCCAAAGAAAGTCCAGAAGAGCTTTCAGTGAGAAAAAGAGACTAATATATATTTTTTGCTTGGTGGTAGTCGGACAGGGCATTAGGATAGTCTACAGGTCTCAAGAGTGCCACTGACCAAACTTTTGGATTGTTTTTGTAGGCATTTGGTGCAGTTGAAGCCATGTCGGATCGTGTTTGTGTCCATACTAATGGCAAAGTGAATGTGGAAATTTCTGCTGAAGATCTGCTCTCTTGCTGTGGATCTGAATGTGGGATGGGGTAAGTCACTTCCTACCTTGTCACTTGTTTTTTCTGTTCATATGTTCAGGAATGACACTGGAAAGTTCAGGGAGAACACCCACATATGTTGAGTTCAGAAGGCTTTGTTCTGGAAGATTGAGTTCTAGCAAGCCCTCAGACTGCTCCAGAATGGCTGGAACTGTGTGGTCTAAGATTAAAAGGGGAGGTAGTGACAGATTTTATTTTCCTGGGCTCCAACATCACCTCAGATGGGGACTGCAGCCAAGAAATTAAAAGACGCTTGCTCCTGGCGAGGAAAGCTATGGCAAATCTAGACAGCATACTAAAAAGCAGAGACATCACCCTGCCAACAAAAGTGTGTATAGTCAAGGCCATGGTTTTCCCAGTTGCAATGTATGGATGTGAAAGTTGGACCATAAGAAAGGCTGAGCAACAAAGAATTGAGGCCTTTGAACTATGGTGCTGGAGAAGACTCCTGCGAGTCCCTTGG